CCTCCCTCCCTCCCTCCCTCCCCCTCTCTTTCTTTTCTTTTCTTTCTTTCTTTCTTTCTTTCTTTCTTTCTTTCTTTCTTTCTTTCTTTCTTTCTTTCTTTCAGCGGCCCTGTTCGGAACAGGTACTGGGCTGCGGCACAGGGGTTGGGGACCCCTGGTATAAGGCCTACAGCCTTGGGCAGCAGGCTAGACTAGAAGACCTCCACAGTCCCTTCCAGCTCCCCGGATTCCATGACCCACCCGTGTCCCAGCCCTGCTTCTCCTCCTCTCTTGCTCCGCCCTCGGCCCTGCCGGCTGTCGGTCAACGGAGCTGCAGGACGTGTTTCTCTTTCCAGATCTCCGCCTGGGGATGATCGAAATCCAGACTCGGGGCCCCCCGGCCTCCCTCAGCCCCTTTGAGAAGAGCTCCCTCAACCTGCCCCAGTTCGTGCAGCTGATGGAGACCTTCGTGGGCGAGGGGACGTCCCTGCCGAGGCTGAAGAAGGCGGTCGAGTTCCTGAAGAAGGGCTACCTGCAGACGGAGGCTGAGAGGTTCAGCCAGCTGGAGAAGGTAAATGCCACGCAGCCCCCTGTCCCCCCCCCAATTGGTCCTCATTTACAGGTGGTCCTGGACTTACAACCGTTCCTTTAGTGGCTGTTCAAAGTTATGACGGCGCCGAAAAAAGGGACTTATGAACGTTTTCACACAACCCTTGCAGCATCCTGATGGTCATGTGATCAAAATTCGGATGCTTTCGGAGGCATGGGTATCTGAGTGTCCTTTGGAATAGAATAGAATAGAATAGAATAGAATAGAATAGAATTACAGGATAGAGTAGAGTAGAGTAGAGTAGAATAGAGTAGAATAGAATAGAAATAGAAATAATAGAATAGAATAGAATTACAGGATAGAGTAGAGTAGAGTAGAGTAGAGTAGAATAGAATAGAATAGAATAGAATAGAATAGAATAGAATTTGGAATAGAATTTGGAATAGAATAAAATAGAATAGAATAGAATAGAATAGAATAGAATAGAATAGAATAGAATAGAATAGAATAGAAAATAGAATAGGAATGGAATGGAATGGAATGGAACAGAACAGAACAGAACAGAACAGAACAGAACAAAACAGAACAGAACAGAATAGAAAATAGAATAGAAAATAGAATAGAAAATAGAATAGGAATGGAATGGAATAGAATAGAATAGAATAGAATGGAATGGAATGGAATGGAATGGAACGGAACGGAACGGAACGGAACGGAACAGAACAGAACAGAATAGAATAGAAAATATAATAGAAAATAGAATAGAAAATAGAATAGGAATGGAATGGAATGGAATAGAATAGAATAGAATAGAATAGAATAGAATAGAATAGAATAGAATAGAATAGAATAGAATAGAATAGGAATGGAACGGAATGGAATGGAATAGAATAGAATAAAATAGAATGGAATAGAATAGAATGGAACGGAACGGAACGGAACAGAACAGAACAGAACAGAACAGAATAGAATAGAAAAGAAAATAGAATAGAATAGAATAGAATAGAATAGAATAGAATAGAAAATAGAATAGAATAGAAAATAGAATAGAAAATAGAATAGGAATGGAATGGAATAGAATAGAATAGAAAAGAAAATAGAATAGAATAGAATAGAAAATAGAATAGAAAATAGAATAGAAAATAGAATAGGAATGGAATGGAATGGAATGGAATAGAATAGAATGGAATAGAATAGAATCTGGAAGGGACCCTGGAGGTCTTCTAGTCCAGCCCCCTTGCTCGAGCAGGAAAACCCTCAATCATGTGACTGTCCAGCCTCTTCTTAAGGTAAGGTAAGGTAAGATAAGATAACCTTTATTGTCATTTTTTTACTGTGGGCACAACGGCACACCTCAAAAATGAAATTTAGTTGCCCGCTCTCAAAGTGAAACACATACATTGTAGAGATGGGGGGTCAGGTAGAGGTCGTGAGCAGCAAACTGCCCTTCCAAAGCCTGTGTGCCTCTTTTCTCTACATACATGATCTCATCCATTCACATTGCCATGGCAATGTGGGAAACTACCCCAGGCTGGTACATGATATCACCTGGTTCACATGATATCAGCTAGGTTACATCAACAGGATGTGGCAGAAGACTGCTCCCTGTCTGGGGCCTCCTAGCTGGTATATTCTTAAGGATTGGCAATAGAACTGTTGTTGCTAGGCTGATGCCATCTTACTTTTTTGCTGCTTGGAATACCTGTATAAAAGGAATAAACACTGCGAAGGCAGTCAGCCATATTTGCACCCTGCTATGACTGGTCACTGATTCCTTCAATACATGACACACACCTAAACATACTAGACTCCTAAACATAAAGACTTCCAGTGTTGGAGCATTC